AGGGTAGGGGTAGAATATACCATGCTTGAGGTATGGGAGGCACATGACCAACGGTAGGGGTAGAATATACCATGCTTGAGGTATGGGTGGGTTACTTCAATTGGAGCACATGACCAAGGGTAGGGGTAGAATATACATATACGTATTCATATTTACATCCATAATTAGTCTTTACATCTTCCCAGGGATCATATTTCTTTAGAAGAGGTGCAAAATACACTGGGACCTATGACAACAACAAGAAGCAAGGCCGAGGTACCTTCGTCTACCCCGACGGCTCAAAATATGAAGGTGAGGGACGAAAAATCCACATTTTATTTAATATTACAAATTTTCTTGCTTGCACATAGCCATTCGCAAAAACATTTGTTGCATCCAGGGTAAAATAGGTGGACGTAATGTTGTTAAACATTGTCATTAAGATGTTAATGTGTCAACTTTTTTTGTTTTGTCATTCTGCTTTGTTGGATTGTCCAATAGATTTCTGGATGGCAATTTAAATAACAATCTGGGTAGCATAGGTGGCATTCGCAGCTAACGCGTCGTCTTTCACCATTGTGAGTCCAACGTGTCGGCCGGGTCGCTGGTTCGAGCCCTGCGGTCGCCACATGTGAATTGAGTTTGTTTGATGTGTTGTTCTCTCCTATGCTACGAGGGTTTTCTCCAGGTTCTCCCGTTTCCTCCCTCCGTAAAAATCAACATGTGAGCTGAGCGTTGTGTGCATAGAATATTAAATGTAGTGGTAGTGCGTGTGAGTGAAAAGTGTTCCCAATTAGTGCGAAAGCGCTAGAACGACTAGACACTTAAATAAAGTGATTTATTTATTTATCAACCAAAACAAATTTCGTCATCGTACGCCTACCTATTAGACAGCATTTACTTTGCAGCTTGCAACACAACAATGTTGCATGACAAGCTGTGAATTTTGCAGCCAAAATTATTGCACCTTAAGGAAGTATGTTGTTGGTTATAGGAATGTGGGTGGATGATGAGCGAAATGGCCAGGGTCTGTATACCTATCCAAACAATGACGTCTATGATGGTGAATGGAAGAAGAACAAGAAACATGGTCGTGGAAGTTATCTGTGTGCTAAAACCAAAGTCAAGGTAGAGTATGGTTAAGCCCCAGAATGATGGGAGGGTGGGAGGGTGGGAGGGGGGAGGGAGTCAGAATGGCAGCTGTAATCCAGAATATTCATTTTCAGTTCATTACCTGACTTCTGTTAAATTAAAGATTGAATTAGAATTTCGTGATAGTTTTTGTAGTTAGGGAGGAAAACCAGTGAATTGAAAGAGCCAGCCCGTACCGTTGGGAACGAGTTACATGATTGGATTAAAAAGCAATAAATTGGTCATCCAAACAATAGCACTAAACTTAACCTTACAAAAGCGGTACTGTACTTAGGGAGCAATGAAAATCCAGCTTTTGAGCGGTACTGGATTACTGGAACATTAAAACCTGATGGTGAAGAATCTAATCTCAAAGTTGGTACATAGCCCTAGAGTCAAAGATATATATCTATTCTAAGATGTATTTATATTTTTTCACATGAAAAAGCTTGAAGGAACATGGGTAAGAGGAAAACTGAATGGCACAGGAAAGATGATACTGGCTGACCATGTTTACCAAGGAAAATTCGCAGATAATCTGGTAGGAATTACCCTATTTCACTATGACGTCACTGCTTGTTTATGTGGGGGATAGAATCGCCTAATCCAATAGAAAATTCAACAAAATTTGCTCCTAGCGAAACAGTTTAATCTAAAATGGCCTGGTTTTCAGATATAGTATGTGTTAATATGTACTAAAAAATATTCTAAGCGTTTGCCGGATATTCTACTTCTCTTCGTGGATTGATGCAAGTTTTAGAACAATTTTCGGTGAATTTGCGTTGATTTGACCCCCTCCGACGACCATGATCCTTTGCGTTTAAACAATAGATTGTTTTGATGTGACGTCATAGTGAAATAGGGCAATTGTCTCTCTGGACATCTGGACACTACTCCCCCCCCCCCCCCCCCCCCCCCTTCAAAAATGATTAAAAGAGGGTACAGACCCCTGAACCTGAACCTGGTTGTATGAAGGGTGGATAGCATTATTTATTTATTTATCAACGATATTTATACAGAGGTGTCCAGTTCAGCAAAGCTGGTTTGAATGGGTCTCTGTATAAAATAAACTTAGACAGAAAATATAGTACAGAATACAAAAATTAAAGTTACAAAGTACTAAGATTTAAACACTTTACATGTAGTACTGTTTGGCGCACAGGGTTAATTTGTAGCAAGATCTAAAATGCTCTTTTAGGCCAGACTTAAATCTTGTTAAGTCGTGTACCCTCCTTGTGTACCTATCCAATGGATAATTCCTTATTTAGTAGAGAAGGCCTAGGGAAAACGTCGAACTTTCCATGCACCGAACTTAATTACATCAACACTCCTTTCTACCACCTCTTTCTCTTTTACTCCGACGAAGGACTAGCGTCCGAAACGTCAGTAAGTTTTTTCATCGTTTTTTCATCTTTTCACGGTGTATAATTTACCTTTTTATCATTACATCAAAGAATGCCGCCTCACTATCACCTGACTAGTCCATTGTTTTTAATGAGTTCGGTGCATGGAAAGTTCGACGTTTGCCCTAGTTTATCCAAAATAAATTTCTCCACTGGATACAAGACTTATTCATCAGATAGCGCTATCAACCCTTTGTAGAACTGGCCCTGGGGTTCAAAACAATAATCTAAAAATAAAGATTGGGAATTGGTGTAAGGGTTTATAGATTGCTTATCATATATGTGTGAATAAGTTAGATAGAGCGCATGCAGTAAAACCATGATATAAAAACAAAGTTGATACTGACAAATAGTAGCTATTTAGTGACTAATAGTCACTATTACTCAACCAGAACATTTATTAAACAAAAGACACAAATGGTCTCTTGTGTATTTGTCTTTGTATGATGAATGTTCTGGTTGAGTGATAGCAACTATTAGTCACTAAATAGTTCTATTCACCATTTTCCATACATTGGTTCACTGGTCAAACACAAAGCGCTCAAGCTAGGCGCCAAGGTACTTTCAAAGGATTATTCAAATTTGAACCTTGCAACCTCGACTGAATGCTTCGACCAGTGAACCGATGTATGGAAAATGGTGAATTTGTCAGTATTGGTTTACATGATCAATGATTTTGTGTGGGCAACTTGGCGTGGGCGAGTTGCTCCGTGGGCGAATTGACTGGTTACCTTTACCTCAGTATTAACTTTGTTTTTATTTCATGGTTTTACTGCATGTGCTCTAACAAAATTGTACATATTGGTGCAAAGTTTTGTAGGTCTACGGTCTATTGAATTTACTTACATATTTGTGCAATTTCTTACAAAGTTTTTCAGATGTATGGTGTGCACTATACTAGTGGGCAGTATGTCATCTTAGTTTTTCAACTATAAGATGAGGGTTAGTGATGTTATTAATATTTATACATTTAGCCATCAGGACCTGGTAAATATGTCTTTAAGAAGGGGTTTGAGCAGTATGGTGTATATAATATCAAAGAAAAGGTAATTGTAATAGTAAATTCTGTCTTTCATTTCATTCTTCTTTCATTAATTTATTCATCCATCCATCCATCCATTCTTTAATTAACTCCTTATCCTTGGTGGTCTTGACTCAAAAGTATATACTCTTTCAATGAACACACACAAATATTATATTATACTTTCCAAACTATTATTACATTCTTATTTAATCTTATTTATGTTCAAATATTACATCTTCAATCATAAAATGTGTGTAAATTTATTATCAAACCTTTTTGAACCTTCATTTTTTCCATTCAATGTTTTATTTATTCATTTATTCTGACATTCACTAGATCATTCTTTCATTAATAGGACGTTTGCATGATGGTGTCATTTGACACCAGCTACCCAGATGCTTCTCAACTTGTCTTTCTTATTTAAATTCAGTATTCCCTCATGAGAATAGTAGAAAATTGGTGCTAATTAACTGAACAAAAGAAAGTGTGCAATCTCCCACGATGAGCTTAGCTCTTGTAGAGAGCACAGACAGTCAATATGTTTAAATAAAAAATAAAAAAATAAAAATAAAGTGTGCAAGGAAGTCTGGTAGTAGAGATCAATGACACCATCGTGCAAACTTCCTATTTATTCTATTCATTCCTTCACTCATCCATACATTCATTCATTCACTCCTGATCATACCTTCATTTACTCACTGACATATTTATTTGTTGCTACTTTATCAGTCACACACATTCATTTGTTCATTCATTCCAGTCTCTTATGCTTCGTTTGAACACTTTAACTCTCACCCACCACTAATACACAAAAAAATTATGAACTTTCATTTTCATCATCCTGTCTTCCCCTCAACATGTAACTTAATTTTCTTTGCAATAATTCTGTTTTCAGAAAAAGAGACAGTTTGATGAAGAAGAGGAGCCTATCAGAACTCCCATCTGGAAATGCATCGGTCTCTCCCAAACTCTTTAAGCTAAAACATACATTATTTAGCGATCAATTTCTGGGTGTTTTATTTTACAATTTCAACACATGACGTACATAATTTTTAATCTTTGTACCTTACATTATAATGAATAGAATATTTACATAGAATGTGGTTATCTTACCAGTTTACTACCTGCCAAAATGCTTCACAAGTTTTCTTTGTCAATATTTTAAATTTTTATTAATTGTGAGAAAAGCAAGAAAATATTGATGTTTGTTAACTTAGAAAAATAAAGTGTGCAAAGGATTCTGGTAGTAGTAGTACATAATGCTATGATCATTATGCGAACATCTTGTTGTATCTATGTTGCCTTGATTTAGTAAACATTTTTCAATAAATCTTGGCTTTAAAATGGGCTGAAATCAAATACTAGCCTACTATTAACCTGTTACCTATCCTTCTTGTGCCTCATGGGACAAGAGTGAAAAACGTCTGCGCATGCTCTGAATCCGTATGTAAATTAGTCAAAACATATGAAAATTTGGCTTTCAAACATGCCTAATAAATTAGACTTCACAAAATGCCAAAACTTAGTGTCCGTGCTTGAAACTTAAGGCTAATTCTTTCATATTGTGTTTGTTAATACAGTATCTTGGTCTGACAAAAGTATATTCGCGAATTCTTTTTGTATACGCAGAGAAAACAAACATTTATTTTCTCACTCAAACTCTTCTAAATTCTTAGAAAACGTGCTGAAATGCACGCATGCGCAAATGTTTTTCTCTGGTGTCGCCTCATGGCACATAGGGCCTTGCCTATCATAATGAATGCTAATTTATTATTCATTATATATAAGTAGCCTTCTATAAGTTCAAAAGCAGAATGCATTGTGGTCTAGCTTGGGTAAAAACAAAACCATATGGCATGATAGACTTTAGTTATTCAGAGAGAATCACATTATTATGACAGTTGTTGCCAACTTAGCATTGATAACCTTGTACCCTCTATTTCTAATGAGTCTCTGAATAAGACAGGACTACTTATTTAATGTGGCCATGCTGAAGGTCTAACCATATGGAGATATTTTTTAAAGCAAAGACAGCACCTCCTACATGTACTTGAATATTTTAAGACCCAGACTGTTGGTCCAGCTAAAGCTTCAACCCATGACCTCCCGCACAACAGGCCATTGCCTAACCAAGCCAACCACAAAGCGAGACGAACAGTGAGCTTGCAATGATAGAGACAGGTGAATTAAAATATTATTGTTCAAGGTTTTTAAAAAAGGTCTCTATCATTGCAATCTCACCATTCGTCTCGCTTTGATGCAAAGGCACGGCTAACTTTCAAGATGGGGCAGGGAACTGTGAAGGAGACTATTGCAGTAACGCTAGGAAGAGACTGACGCTGCGTTTACCCTGTAGTACGGCAGACAAATTTTCAACCAGTCAAAAAGTTGTACCTTTATTGGCCTCCATTCATTTCATTCACCTCAAGCCATGCAAATTTGGATCCAGTTTCGTCTAAACAAAATATTTTCTTCATACGATCAAAGAGACAGTTTTGTGCAAACTGTATGTACAAGTCAAATTTTTGACTGGTTGAGAATTCATCTGGTATCATTTAAACGCAGTTTGAGAGTCACTACTTTTAATTTTTCTTCTTCCCAAAAAATCTATATCTTGCAAATCGAAGTATGAGTATGCTCCATATGATACTAACAAGGTACAGGATTAGTCCTCCAGCTTTAATCAGTATTGTAGGTTTCTCAGCCAGAGTGGTATGGTACGTTAAGATCGAACCAGGACCAAGACGTAAATATAGAAACAAAGCCATGAAAATAAAGTCATTCCCATATGCCAATCTTGTTTGATAGTTGCCTGTTTCTCGTAAAAACCAACGTAACTGAAGAAATGGATTAGTCATTTCCATTCCAAATATGGCTGCGATGATTTCAGATCCTGAGAGACCGATCGATAAAGCATAGCCAAGAGTGAGAACTGACGTTACATGATGTATAAGCATCACAGGCCCCTCGGTTTCCATATACACACACCAAATAAAGTCAAATATGAAGTATCCAAATGAAATCAGGAGTATTAATGTCTGAAATGGAGTGGAAGTGTAACCAAGTGCGTCAAACGGCCATGGTCCAGTCTGGAATCCACACCAATAGCTAAGCAATGTTACCAAACATGCATGAAAGATTGACACGAGACGACAGTTCCATTCGTAGCTTCGTTGCTGGTTTACAAGACAGATTAAGGAGTAGACGATTAACCATGCAAAGACCATGGAACAGGTTGGAATTATAAGGTCCAAGGGAGTGACAATATCCATTATTGTACAGTATGTTATGCCTCAAACACTCGATGTTTAGCATTCATTCACAGTAATTCTAGAAAATTTGACATATGCTAAGCATTAATAAAGAGCATGATCAAATGACTTAACATTGCTTAATGAACCTTTTACCATTCAGGGCCGTAACCAGAACTTTTACAGGGAGGGTGCACATCGAATAAAATCAGACCATTGAACTCAGTGGTGTAACTAGGGATCTTGCAGGGAGGTGCACAGGAAATGATTTGCAGAACCAAAAAACAAAGGTAACCAAAAAAAAAAAGCAGAACCAAAAAAAGAAAATAAAAAAGGATATGGATGAGCAGACCTTAAGATTTTATGGGGGAGGGGGGTGCACGTGCACCCTGTGCTCCCTCCTGGTTATGGCCCTGCCGTTAATACCACCATGTTTATCCTTGATTACAGACTCATTTACTCAAAGCAGGGTTAGCCTCATTTCATTTCATAATAAATATTCACGAACACGAATAGTGAAGATTACAAAACTTCAAAGATACTAATATTTTGAAATTCCACAGACTTTCACTTGAACACATTATTTAACAATTATTTGCCAGAGGCAAAGTGAATGTAGGTGAATATTTACAGAGCTGCCAGTCTTCAAGCGGCAAGGTAGATATTCATCATAATCACTAAAAGCATGAGGTGAATAATTGTTTTAGTATAATATCAGAGAAAAAAAGAAATTCAGGATAATCAAACGTTCTCATTTCATTTCCACTCCGGCACATTTAGGGAAAGTTCATTATCGCCACTCGAGCAGTGAATACCATCTCATAATCACTGGTTGCTCGACCAATGACAGAGCGCGAAATTCTATATTTAAGTCTAACATTATATGAATGTTTTAAATATGAATATTGTATTACATGCACCATTTTTTTAAAGTGCTACTACGACGAAAATCGCTCAAACTTGGATTCAGCTGAAACTTCCTAAGAATACTCTTTAAAGGTCCAATAATCACTGTATGAAGTGTTTTCTCGATATTCAGTACGAAAGTATGATATTTTTACGATTATTTTT